GGCTTTTTTGACAAATCCCGAGCCCGGCCCGAAACACAGTCGGGCTTACTGTGTTAAGCCCGAGGTCAGGCCCGCGGGCCTAATTATATGACCAAGCCCGGCCGGGGTGCGGGCCGAGCCGGGCCGTCGGGCTACCCGGCCCATGAACAGGTCTACATGTTGTTAAGGGGCCATCAAACAGAACATAAAAAGACGTAAATACCCATCTCGCTTTCACTGCTCTAATCTTTTGAAGAGCACAATTCTCCCCGTTGGTGCTGATAAGTGGAATACGTCGCCGGAAAAGCTCGGATTCTCTCCGTTGGAATTCAGTTCTGAAGTCTCATTTCAGCTGTTGCGGGAAAGCTCGGATCGTATGTCTCCTAGGGACAGAAAGTTTTCTGTCTCATCCAATACATTTTGTACACGTCATATTCGCCCACTCAATTTGAAACTATGCTAACGGCGGTGTGGACTCAAAAACAATTTAAATTTTGTAAACCCGCTACTTCCACTTTCGTTTCTCGTTGTCTACCTCTTTCATTTCTCCCTCTCCCAGTTGTACCCGCTCTAATTGCGCTTCTTCTTCCCTCTCTCCAGTATGAAATTCACCGCCCCTCCATTTCTTCCCTCTCACCTTTAAAGGACCCATTTTCCAGGAACCCACCGTTAGATCAGAACCCCAGGACTCATGCAATGTACAACTGTACAAGGTGGAGTACCTTGTTAATTCTAAAAGGTGACCAACTCAAAAACAATGTACATCGCCCCCCATTTCTTTGCTTGCTTGCCATTTTTCATCCTCGAGTACTACTCCCTCCTTCGGAAGTCATAACATGAACGGATCTTCGTGCAGAGAACCACCCTGTCAATGAACAACCCTTTTGGTGACAACGACCTAATACTATCAAATGAAATCAACCTTCTCCCAAGCATTGCAGAGGAACCCATCGACGTATTGGTGGCCGAGGTGGTTTGTACCATCTAGTCAATTGGGTTTAGGGATCCCCACTTCGAAATGCTTAGTCTTGCACATCTTGGAAGAGTCCGAGGTGTAGTAGAAGGAAGTGCTATTGTTCCATTCGAGGTGGTAAAGAAGTTGGCCCAGCTGGTCCTCAATGATGTTGGAGTACAGTAGCGGTGAGGGTTGCAGTGGCGAGGAGGATTCCTGTGTGGCCGAGTACAGTAATGTATCAATGGGGAGAGAAGAAATGTGAGAGAGAAACTTGAATCAGTGGCCTGAATACAATAACATACCGGTGGAGAGAGAAGAACCAGAAAATTGAATCAACGAGGGATGGAAGCTGCAAAGGCGAAGGGGCGGTGAGAGGAGAGGGGAGGGGGAAGAAGAGACGAAAAAGAGAGAGAAGGTATGAAGGGTGAATGTGTTCAGCATATATGATAAAAAAATAAAATCCATACGCCATTAAAAATAATTTTTCGTTAGTTTCAAATAAATTCCATAGGCTGTTAGTTTCAAATATGCTGGACTCCAGATTTGCTCCGTCGTTGACTGATCGAACCTTCTTTTCTCTCTCTAAAGACTAAAGTGCAGTAATCTTTGGCACGCCGGCGAAAATTTTTTTTCTTCAAAATCTCTCTCTGCAATCCTTCTCTAAGAAGAGAAGCCCAAGAAAAAACATTGCAGAGTAGAACATCGTCTGAAATATCGTCTTAATCTGTATAGCGACGTTCCGTTCTTTTCAAAGGAGAGTTGAATAAGAGTCAAAAAACTACAAAAAGAGGGTCACTCTATTTGAGTGGGCTAGATTAACCGGAAGGATTTTTTTTACTTCTCTGGCAGTGCTTAAGCATTGGTTTTGATTTGTAGAGGAGTTAGGTCTCAATGTTTACCGCTTTGTGATAATCTTACAACATATACCACCCAAGTAAACACCACACAAACAAAGCAACCCTCTCCGCCGGATGTTTTTAATCTGAGTGGGAGGCATGGGGGTTGAAATGGGCTGGCTATGGAGAGGCTCCCCACATACGACCGTTTGAGGAGGGGAATGCTGACGCAGGTCCTAGATAGTGGAAGGGTTGTTCGAAATGAGGTGAAAATTACCAAACTTGGTGTCGACGACAAGAAGCTGCTCATGGATAGCATCCTCAAGGCTGTTGAGGACGATAACGAGAAATTTCTTACCAAGCTTAGGGAACGAAATGATAGGTATCTCTCTCTCTTTGTCAGAGTGTCTGTTTCATTAAATCATTTTATTAATTCTTAATTTTGTTTTCTTGATAGTTGCTAGTTCATTGTTTCTTGCAACAGCTCCCTGTTGCCTTTCTACGACATCTACAGCATCTATCCGAGTTCATTGTTTCTTGATTATTGCTAGTTCATTTCAGGCCTGACCTGAAACATTACATTTAGGTCGGGCTGCAAATTTCTGGGCTTGAGCTGGGCTTAAAGAAATTTGCGAGTCAAACCAGGCTAGAATTGAACACCCTGCTCTTTCCAATAAAAAAAAAAAGAATGATTGTAAAACCAATGATAATGCCCAACACTAGCCACAAAATGAATTCGGATTAGCTGAATGAAATAACTGTTTAACGGGCTGTGGAACTAATGACATTCCACAAAATCATGGCCCCCATCCTCCCACTGTGAAAGGAGCGAATCCCATACTTTATTGGTTCCACAGCCCGCTGAACAACCATTACCTTCACTTAAAACCTTGTTCTCACAAAATGCATGTATTTTATGACCAGTGTCAAATATTGTTATTGGTTCCACAGTCTACTCAATAGCAATTGTATTCAGCTAAGCTAATCTTTAAGAAGATGTACGATATTCCATATACATACGGTTGTCATTCATACTTAATATACAAATTCAGATGTGAATTTTATACTGTTATCATTGAGAATGTACATACAAGTATATATATGCAAGTCTATAAACAAAGCATGTAAGCAATTTACTACATTCAAATTGCTGTTGAATTTTGACGAACGCCGGAACGCAGAGAGAGACAGAGAGAAGAACGAGAGTACCCAAAATTATTACCCATATCGATTTTCTGAAACAAAATTCTCAAAAAACAAAAAAAAAAAGAAACTAAACAAGTGGTTAATGGAGATTGGAGAAGAAAATTGTCAAAATCCCTACATAATAAGAATGGGAGGAATATATATATATACAATTCCCACCGCCAGGAACTAAGTCTGTCGCCGGAGACGCTTTCTGAGCTTCTTGTACTTGTGCTTGTTCATCTTCTTCTTCCTCTTCTTCTTCACGCTGTCAGCCCAAACCGTCTCAGTATCACCGGACCCAACCTCAGCTTCCTTAAAGTCAATGTCCACTCGATCGAACCCAGTTTGAGGAATTGGATTCAAATAATACCCAAAAGGGAAATTGGGGAAAATCTGCAAGAGCGGCGAAGAAGTAGGTTTCTGTTGTTCAAAAGCATCCGGCGTAGGGTTTAGATAACATTGATAGTCTGATTTGCTTCCACTGAGACTAGGTTCATGAAGGCCAAAGGGAACTGCAAGATTTGGCGGTTGGGGTTTGTTCAAGCTTGTGATGATTCTCAGATTGTAAGGTTTTTTGAGGAATTTATGCAGAAGCCCAGCCATTGATGTTTGTAGAGTGACAGAAAAATTGAGAAACCAGGGAGAGATCTTCTAGTTTAACTGACTAACAACACCTAAACAGTTAAAAAGAGGAGTAGAGAACAGGAGTCAGGAACACAGTTCCCCCTCGAAAGGGAAGGGGAAACCGGGAAAGATCAAAGAATGATGCCTCAGAAACACGAGAGGATCTTTCTTGTATCCTAAATCCTAATAGCGTGAAAAACCTAAAAAGACTAAAATAGAGTTCTAATTGATGCCAGAAAAGGAGTTCAACATCACTCCCATGCGATCCCCAATCATATGCGAACACGCCAGCCGTGAAAATAAATTAAAGGGTAAATTACAAAAACCCTCTTGTACTATGGGTTAGTGACAAAGTCTCCCCTTATACTTTTTTTCGCGACAAAGACCCCTTACAAAGACCCCCTTGACCGATAATTCAGATGACGAAAAACGTTAATTATCAAAATACTTCACTAAACTTTTTCTATTTTCTTTTTCTTGCCCTTTTTCTCTTAAAACCCATTTTGACCGTCCCCTCGGCCTTCAATCACCGAGCCATCGACGATTGAATCTTTTCTCTCAACAATGCCATGAAGTAATCGGGAAGGGTAAGCCCGATGTCGAGCTCGCTCATATAGAAGACCCCCTGTCCTTCCTCATCAAGACGTAGTCGTGGCTAAGCACGAGCATAAACCCAGTAGTAGCAGCGTGCCCCGATACCGCTGCTATAATGGGCATAGGGAGGGAGAGCAGGTCAACTATGATGGCCTTTAAGCCGTCGCCCATGTGCTGAAGCCAGAGGAGGAAGCCGTTGGACCCGGCAGACTCGGCCCAAGCGAGATCGAAGCCATGGGACAAGAACTTACTCTGTTCAGTGGTGACCATGACTGAACTATGCTTGGCTTAGGCACGGACTTGGCTTAGAGATGACCAAATCTCGCCAATGAGGCTGGGGTTCAACCGGTGCTCATTGTCACCAACTGGAGTTAGAATCGGAAAAGCTATGTTTTTTTTCCTGTGGATTTCTCAATGATTGTAATTTTAATTTTGTGTTTTGAACGGAGAGAAAAACGATTCCGGCCAACACAGTGAGGGAGTCCAGAAAGCCTACGATCAAATGATCAATCCCACGACCTCTCAGTTCCTTAGAGTCGGCTCTCTCCTTCTTTCAGCTCTAGTTCTCGTAAACGCTCCCCTCCCCTTTTGCTTTGCTTACTGAATTAATCCTCTTCATGTAATGAGCTCAGGTAATTCAGAGTCTCACACCTGTGACGTTCACAGCATTCATCTAGCACAACACATGTAGGTTCAAGCCGTTGCAAACCCAAAGGAACGGATTGGGGATCCTTCCCGCTCTGTCCATCTCGCATGACAACACATCACACCGCAGTAAAGAGATATTTGACACCCAACGTAAATTTATTATTTGCTTCCAAATAATATGGCAGGTATATCAAGTAGCAATCACGCATATACTCGCGGTGAGCACCGTATTCATGCAGAGTAAGACGATTAAGTGATGAACAACGAAACTTTAACTGATTCTGAGCAAATAACAGATCAATTTAATTGTAAATAACAAGAATCAAGAAATTTGAGACATGGGAAACAACATTTGGAACAACAAAACCAATAGTTCAAATGGCAAACAAACACATATCGTAATCACTAGATTCGTTGCCAACAATAATTTTATAAAGGTCGGCCCAGCAGAGCTTCATCGCCGTCTCAATTGCTGTTGATCGAATGTTGTTCAGCAGGGGATGAGAGGAATACAATGAAATAAGTAAATAAATTAAAAGGGGGAAATTTTGGCATGAGCAATGATGCTGCAAGAGACTTTTAATCCGATCTGATCTGGGATTGCTTAAAAGTGGGACACGTTATTTGTAACGGATAGAGATTAATTTGATTTTCTATAATTGTATGTGAAACGTCTATAGTGCTTGTGTTTAAGTAGGGGGTTTAGTTAACTAGAGAGCCATGGTAATTTGAGAGTTATTTGGAGTCTATATATATTCTTGTAAGTATCGTTTTGAGAATCAATTGAAGAATTTTCTTTAAAACCGTTTGATTTTTATCGAGGTCTCTTATCTCCTTCAAATAAACGAAACTCACGTTATGTCCCTAATCGGGATCGTGACACAGACCCAGTCATGGCCCACCACCAATTTATCAATATCAGGGCCTTTTAGTTCACTCCCAAAGAACACAAGATGGGTTGCACAGGTCTTTGCCAGAATGGGACTTTTATGTTCTTTGGGAGTGAATGGAGAGGCCCAAAATGGCACAGGTCTTGCCACTATTGACCGGCGATGGTCGAGTTTGGGACAGTGTGAGAGTGCTTGATGTTAGTTTTGAGGTATAAGGGAGAAGATAGTGAACAGTATAAGAAGGGTAGTTTAGACATTTTAAAAACTTTAAACAGTATAAGAAGGGATTGCGAATGCCGATTCATGCACTTTTCTCAAATCTGTTTGAAGTCTTCATCCTGGGCGTACAGATCCTCCAAACATTCAAAACCCACAATTTCGATACTGAGAGTCTTGATGAGAGCCACATGCCTGTTCAAAGCATCGACCATTGTGTTCTGTTGCCCAGCCTTATACATAATTTTGTATGGGAGTTTATCAATAAAAACAGACCACCTTACATGTAGATCACTCCTCAACTGTTTTTGCTTACTTAAATACTTAAGAGCTTGATGCTCGGTGTAGAGGACAAATTCTTTAGCAATCAAATAGTGCTCCCAGGTCTTTAATGCTCTTACGATAGCATAAAATTCTTTATCATAAGTGGACCATTTCTTCCTGGCTTCGCACAGCTTTTCACTGAAGAAGGCAACTGGTCTCTTTTCTTGTGATAACACGGCCCCTATGCCGACTCCACTAGCATCACACTCAACCTCAAACAATTTGTCAAAGCTTGGCAATACTAAGACAGGAGCGGTGCACAACTTCTCTTTGATGAGAGCAAAACTTTGCTCTTGTTCTTCTCCCCATTGAAACTTACCATTTTTCAAACACTCAGTGATACGGGCTACAATGCTACTAAATCGTTTAATAAACCGCCTATACAAAGTTGCTAACCCATGAAAACGCCTTACGTCTGTGACGTTCGTTGGGGTTGGTCATTCCCTAATGGCTTGCACTTTCTCCTCATCCACCTTAATTCCGTCCTTGCTTATTATGAAACCCAAGAACAACAAACTATCACTCATAAAAGTACACTTCTTTAGATTAGCATATAGTTTGTTCTCCCTTAATGCACTCAATACCTCTCGGATATGTCCTATGTGTTCATCGACAGATTTGCTGTAAATCAAGATATCATCAAAATATACCACAACAAATTCACCAATGAAAGGGCATAGTACCTGATTCATCAGTCTCATGAAGGTGCTGGGTGCGTTAGTTAGTCCAAAAGACACGACTAACCATTCGAACAATCCATCTCTGGTTTTGAATGCTGTCTTTCATTCATCTCCGGGACGGATTCTGATCAGATAGTAACCATTCCTGAGATCGATTTTGGAAAAGACCATAGCCCCATCAAGTTGATCAAGCATGTCATCCAGCCTGGGAATGAAAAACTTGTAGCCAATAGTGATTTTGTTGATTGCTCTGCTGTCGACACACATCCTCCAACTCCCATCTTTCTTAGGTGTTAATAATGTTGGTATTGCACACGGACTCATGCTAACCTGGATATGACCCTTTCTTAACAATTCTTCTACCTTCTCCCGTAAAATCTCGTTCTCTTTAGGGCTCATCCTGTAATGTGGCAGATTAGGTAGGCTAGCTCCAGAAACAAAATCAATGTGATACTAGATATCTCGCATGGATGGGAGCTCATTAGGTAATTCATCAGGAACTACGTCATGAAACTCGTCAAATAATCCCTGCACTTCCACTGGGATTTTGTTCTCCCCTAGTGATTCACTCACGCTTTCTCCCTTTACCACCAGCAAGTGGACCTCACGGGTATCCTTACATCCTCTTACAAACTCAAAGTGACGATAGGTTATGATAAGAAATTTTCTTTCTTCTACCTTTAAAGCCTTGGGTTGGTTCTTTTCTGCCATGGGTAATAGTGTATAGCGCACACCCTCTTTCTCGAGCTGGTATGTGTTTTTCCTAACCAGGTGCTTGGCATCTGCATCAAACTGCCAAGGCTTACCAAGCAAAATATGGCAAGCATCCATATCCACAATATAACAATAAACATCATCAGTGTACTTACCAATAGAGAATGGAACCTTGTAGCGTTCCTCCACACGTACGCCCCCGACTTCCTTGATCTACCCAATCGTGTAAGGGTTCGGGTGTTTCTCAGGAAGTAGTTGCAGTTTCTGTATCACATCCCTGCAGATAATATTTTCCTGACTGTCGCTATCAATAATTAATTCAAATAGCTTACCCTGTACAGTACACCTAGTGCGAAACATCCAATGTCATTGTGTGGTATCTTTGCTTCTCTAAACTAGCATTAGCTTCCTCACTACACACGTGTACTCTTCATGCTCATAGGTACCTTCTTCGTCCTCCCCATCGGGTCCACAATATACTTCATCGTCACACACTTCTTCCTCATCCCTCTCTACCATGTTAACCGCCTTTCTTCTGGGACAGTCAGTAGACCTATGCCCCACTTCATTGCACTTGAAGCACTTAAAAGGAGTAGGTTTTGCATAGGGATTAACGACTTTAGGAAGGTTTGAAGTATTACCTCGAGTGTTTCCTCCTACGGCGGTCTTACTGCCGTTAGCTACACTCGGCGGGTGGGAGGGTGGTGCTCCTTGGGTTGGCTTGGCCTTGTCGACTACTGTCGGCCTATTGTCGCTCCCACTATACCGTCGATAGTTATCGGCTCGGGTCCTCTCTTGGAACATTAACTCAGCCTTTAGAGCTAAGTTCCTTGCTTCCTGCACGCTCAGAACCATCTGGACACCAATCTTGTCTCGGATAGTAGGTCTCAAACCACTCAAATAACAGGCTACCTGTTGATTGTCACTTTCTAATAACTGGTTCTGTTCAGCCAACCTCAGAAATTCTGAGGTGTACTCGTTCACGCTTCTTGTTCCCTACACACACCATTGATATGACTCAAACATATACTGCTCATAATCAGGAGGTAAAAACCTACCTCTTATTAATTGCTTCATTCGCCTCCATGTTCGAATTGGACCTCTTCCTTCTCTGATCTGAGTCTCCTCATTCGTTTCCACCAGACCGATGCTCCCCCCTTCAATCGAAAAGCTACTAATTTCACCATTCTTTCTTTCGGGATCTCCATGTACTTGAAGAAACGGTCGACCTCGGTGATCCAATCTAGAAGGCCCTCTATATCCAGATCTCCACTAAAAGTAGGAATATCCACCTTGAGTTTAACTTCATCATTATTCCGACGATGATTAAAATTGTCGGGATTTTGCCAATTCCGACCGGTTCTACCATCACCGGGAATAACTGGAGCAACGCCGAATTCTTGCTCGTCGTCACTATCATCATCAAGAATGGGGTTCCTGGGTATAGGATCGATGATTGGCCTACCATGGTCGTCTCCTCCAGCTTGGTGCAACGTGTTATCCTTATTCCTTGGAACATCCTCCCGTAACAAAGTCTGTAGTTGTTCAGCGATCTCTACCAACTACTGCTCAATGTTACGCGTGGTTGTGTACTGCTCTTCGGTTGTTCTCCAAATAGCTTGTAACCCCTGATCTCCGTCACGGGGTTGGTTGCGACTGCTACCGTCTTGATTGGCCATCTGACTGGGTGAACTCCCTCTCTAATACTACTTGACGCAGCATGACGCACTCGACCGGACTAACTATACAAGCACCCGGACGATCGAGTCGGCTTCGGACTTGAAGCCTCACGAAAAAAACTAGGCATAGAGCCTTAGTAGGGAGAGAAGTGAATAGAGAAATTATGTGTGTTATTAAAGCTCATAAACAGAAGTATTTATAATAGACATTGGTAAATTCGTAGAGTAAAATAACTAAGTAATTCAGATTTATAAAACAAGTAGGAAACGTGATTTGTCGTCCGATGTCAATGCCTTCGATGCCCACCGTCCGATATCCACCATCATCCGACGTCGATTGGCATAAGAGTCTTTCCTTTCTAATATTGAGCTGGCGCCCGCTGGTTCGGTGGGTCCCGCGCAGGCCCTCCATAGTATATCAAATAGCAATCACGCATATACTCACGGTGAGCACCGTATTCATGCAGAGTAAGACGATTAAGTGATGTACAACGAAACTTTAACCGATTCTGAGCAAATAACAGATCAATTTAATTGTAAATAAACAAGAATCAAGAAATTTGAGACATGGGAAACAACATTTGGAGCAACAAAACCAATAGTTCAAATGGCAAGCAAACACATATCGTAATCACTAGATTCGTTGCCAACAATAATTTTATAAAGGTCGGCCCAGCAGAGCTTCGTCGCCGTCTCTATGGCTGTTGATCGAATGTTGTTCAGCAGGGGATGAGAGGAATACAATGAAATAAGTAAATAAATTAAAAGGGGGAAATTTTGGCATGAGCGATGATGCTGCAAGAGACTTTTAATCCGATCTGATCTGGGATTGCTTAAAAATGGGACACATTATTAGTAACGTATAGGGATTAATTTGATTTTCTATAATTGTATGTGAAACGTCTATGGTGCTTGTGTTTAAGTTGGGAGTTTAGTCAACTAGAGAGTCATGGTAATTTGGGAGTTAATTGGAGTCTATATATATTCTTGTAAGTATGGTTTTGAGAATCAATTGAAGAATTTTCTGTAAAACCGTTTGATTTTTATCGAGGTCTATCGTCTCCTTCAAAGTAAACGAAACTCACGTTATGTCCCTAACCGGGATCGTGACACAGACCCAGTCATGGCCCACCACCAATCTATCCATATCAGGGCCGCCTTTTAGTTCACTCCCAAAGAACACAAGATGGGTTGCACAGGTCTTTGCCAGAATGGGACTTTATGTTCTTTGGGAGTGAATGGAGAGGCCCGAAATGGCACAGGTCTTGCCACTATTGACTGGCGATGGTCGGGTTTGGGACAGTGTGCGAGTGCTTGATGTTAGTTTTGAGGTACATGGGAGAAGATAATGAATAGTATAAGAAGGGTAGTTTAGACATTTTAAAAACTTTAGACAGTGGGATGAAAATTTTTTTAAAGTTAACTAACCAAACATTAACGGAAGGGGATTTTTGTCTAACGGCTAAAGTTCAGGAGTTCTTTATCGCAAAAAAGAAGTACAGGGGGACTTTTTCACTGACCCCTATATAAAAGAAGTACAGGGGGACTTTTTTGTATTTTCATCCGTGACGTGTTTGTATTTCCATCGGTCCGATTGGGATCTGAAGCCAACGTGGCAAGTTACATGAGCATACCATTCTAATCTGATAAATTACATGAGGCAACTCAACTATAAAAGGAATTTGAACCCTAGTTTCCATGCCCTTCTCTTCGTTTACTTGCTTGCGCCGGATCGCCGGACGCAGATGCAGAGGGATGATGGCGAGCGGTAGATTGAAAATAGAGAAGGAGACAAGATCCTTAGGTTTTTCGATTTGGTCTCTAGTCCTCTTTTGATTGCGTTCTCTCGTTAAGATATAGTTCTAGTTTTTCCCCTTTCTTTTCATTTCCTTATACAAAATGTGATAAATAAGAAGACGTCGATAATCTGGAAAATTAGGCATAGTTTTCTTTTTTTAGTCTCCTCTGTAGTCCTCACTGGTTCATAACCTAGATCTTTTGTATTTTTCTTATGCACAGCAATCCGATATTTTAAAATGCTTTTGTTTTTAGTGCTGTTTAGTTATTGTTTCTGATATATTTTGCGGAAATCCAATTCACTGAAACGCAATAGCACAAGGCATAAGATCCACTGTTTCAGCACAAGTTATAAGTTGGTCCTGCATTTATGGTTGTATGCGAGTTTGTTTATCGAAAATGGTTTTGCAATTGATCTTCCACTTGACTGCAAAGTAATCTTCCTTGGTTTATACACTGCAGGCTTTAAATGTGCTACGTCCAAATTACTAGCAGATAAAATCTTTGAATGCTTACCCATCTTATGCTAATCTATCTGTCTATTTTTTCCTTATATCTCCTGCCGGCTCCCTATCTCTGTATTCTGTTTTTTTTAGCCCGCTATGGTCTTCCAGTAAATTTATATGCTGTGGTTCAGCAATTGATGCAAGTTAGATCTCAGCATTATCTCTCTGTTCGAATCCTTATTCCTTTTAATAATATCTTCTTCATCGTTGATAAATATATATAACATAAAATTTCGTTGCTAATGTGTTGCCTAGGTGCTGATGGAGTAGATGCATGTATACTCTAAATGTGTAATTGTATCCTATTGCTTTTGAAAGGCGTTGCATTCTTGGGGCCTTGTACCAATGGATGTGTCAACAAAAGCATAGATAAATAAATTTCTATTGTGATTTTTGTGCAATTCAGATCTATTATTCTCTTCAAGTAATGACTTTCTACATGGATGTCAATGCTTCAGGATCTGGTTGTGACATTCCAGCAACAGAAAATATGCTTTACTTATTTCTTTCTTTACTTCAGTATTGTTATGGACTGAGCTCCAATTTTTTTCTTTCTTATGCAAGTGAAGTTTTTTCTATCACCATTTTTTAATACAAGGCTTGCATGTTTACCCTATAAAATACATTTTTTGCAATTATTAACATTTAATTTGTAAACAGTATTTTAATTTAACTTAAAAAATACACGGTTTTAACTTAAAATTGTATTTGCATCTATATCGATGCATAATCAGTCTTTGTCTATTTTGTATTAATCTATACCTGTACCTGTATCAGTGAACTATTGTATTGGTCTAATATGAAGGGAAATGGGTGATTGTGTCTGATATATCTATGAGAAAGCAATGTGTTCATCATGCGTTTCAACCCCAAAACCGATGCATATTGACCTGTATTGCCAATTCCGATTGCACTTGTTTCAACAGTTACATGTTTTATCAATCTAGTTTGGTGTTTTTTTTATAACTATTTATTAGTTCTGTTGGTGCCATAGATGATTCGGTCCAGTGTTATTCTGTTGTTAGATTATCCAATTCTTTCTTCATTGTCATATTGTACAGGATACTTGTTCAGATCCTAGGTCTTGCTTTTGAAAGGCGTTGCGTTCTTAGGAACTTGTACCCCAATGGACGTGTCAACAAAAGCATAGATAAGCAAATTTACACTGTGCAATGCAGGCCTCTGCTTCCTTTCTCTGGGTAACGGCTACATATATGTACTTGTAGTGGTTACAGTTCTGCATGTATCATTGTCCTCAAAATCTCTCTCTAGAGTAGAGGTGTCAATTGGACAGTATTTCTTCCAATCCGATCCTGCCAGCACTGGTCCATTTACAAATGAATTGGACCAATTTAATACATACCGGATGCAGTTTAATCCAGTTGAAATGCAAATTAACTGGATTGGACTCAATCCGGTCCAAACTAAACGATGCTTCAAAAATTTTTTGAAACCTGAAAATATAAAGAATTTGCAGATATATTTGACAAAAATATAAATAATGACTTAGGCCCTATTTGGCTTGCAAGAATAGGGGTTTGGAATCAGAATCGGAATGGGTTATTCCGATTTCAACTGTTTGGTTGGATGGAATCGAAATCTCATTGCCATTCCCCCATTTGAGGGAGGGAATGGCAATTCCTTTTTCCTCCCTTGGGAATGAAATCCCATTCCTGCAGATCTTAATTTTCATTCCCGTTCCTGTTTCAACCAAACAGACTATAGGAATGGACCATTTGGATTTTGATTCGGATTCTGGTTTTAACTATAAACCAAAAAGACCCTTATTTTTCTATTGCCGTCTCTGAATTCCAACCAAGGAAGGTAGAGGTAGGCCTATGTGATAGAATATCTATCTGGGGTTCCCATTTTCACACTAAGAGTCTTTTGTTTTGCGCTATTATTCAAATCCCACCTGTCTACAAGTCATCTACCCTGAATTCAAAGTTTAACTCAAGTCCCACTAGACTTACCCATATGAAATTCCTACTGTTTGCCTCCCGAGTGATAGTTAATTCTGTCATTTCTGATGCAGAGATTGTGTCCTGAGAACTGAGGCATACTTAAAGAACAAAATCCAGAGGTTGCGTATTGAGCCACTTGATGCATTGATTCAGGGTTGTCCTGGTATCTTCGTCCACGTAGGTTTTGTTGGCCAATGAAGAGGTGGTAGACTAATCTTGTTGATGTTCTCTGTCGTGTTAAATAAAAGCCCAACGGATATCATCTATATACGAACCTATGTTTGTGTGAATCTAGATCAAGGATCAATCCCTTGGAGCTGGGTGCAACGGATTATTGAGGGTGTGTAGATGGAGAAGTGGCCATGCCATAAGCATCGCCACTCGCCAGTGCTGAAGGTGGAATGAAATGTATTTAGGGCGTCCGCGACCTTGGCCCACCCTCCAAAAAGGAGGATGACCATCTTGTTTGTGGTGATGAACGATGGGAAACATTTGAAAGATGGTTTGAGAGAGAGACTAACTTCGAAGAGTTTAACGATGAAATATTCAGACCATCGCCTTCAAGGCTTCAATGGACTTTCAGACGGTTTGGTGAGAAATAGAGTTGGTCCATTTTGGTCTGTTAAGTGTATTGAACAATAAAAACATGGACCAGTCTAATCTGATTTTAAAATTTGGACTGTCCAACCCATCCTGATATGCCCCTATGTATCGGATTAATGCCTGGTTCAGAGGTTAGTCAGAACTTAAACCGGCCCTTCTGAACCAAAAGCAAAAAAAAAAAGAAAAAGTAAAAGCTAAAAAAGAGGGCACTGGTTGATACGACCTAACCTTGGGTCCCATCTGAATCTAGTCCTTTGACACCCCTACTCTAGAGGATTAATCCTTTGGTCTATATCAGTTATATGTGCCCATGTATTGCTTGATTATCCAATTAATATCAACAGTTCAAGTTTTTAATTTTTTAATATAAATTATAGGATTAATTACTTGTTTATCCTATAGATTATGGAAACTACTTATATGTATCCTGGATTTTCACAAACTGCCTGCATGTGCCCTTTTAGGTGGCCTCACATAACATGAATAGCTCTCCAATGAAACGTTTAGGCCCTCCATCACAAACTATTTTATCCTTCCATTTTGAAAACACGGTTGATCTTCTACTACAAAGTTCTCAACTGAAACCCTAGACTAATCTTTCCATTCGTCTATTATAATTTTTAAGGACATTTGAGCTGCAGAATAGCCATGAATTAAGAGGGACCAAAGAACTTATCTGATTTAAATGCTTGAAAAACGTTCTCAGTCTCAGAAGATGAAGAAAGAGCTTCTCACCTCTGCCATGGAAGGATGAAAGAAAGTCCTGAAATTTTCAAGATGCTAAGCTTAGAGCCACAAACCAGCCGGGGATGACGAAGAAATTGATCGAGAGCTTAAATACAGCTACCAGAGTTTGCTTCAGTTCTTCAATGGGTGTTCACCATTGACACCATTGTGAAGCCTCGTCCTCCCGCATTGGTTTACAACGTTTCCCGCAACTTGAGCTTTTTCACCCGTATTTTTTACCCAGTTCTTTGATCCTAAAGACGTAACAAATGCCCAGAAATCACTTGGGTTAGGATTGAAGGCATCTCACATTTTGTAGAAATGGAGAAAACTTGGAGGTTGTGATTGAAGCACTTAACAGAAGAGAAGCACCGACTGTATCTGTATTTATGATCATAGAATCTTATTTTTTAGAATACTTTTTTTAGGCTAATCAGGGTAGCAAGAGGTGCTAGTGTGCGATAGATGACTTGTACGTGAAGAATGGGGGCATGTTTCTCAAATATACCAATCCGCTCGTGAATGTTTATCCGGTTAGAGCGTTTCAGTGACTCCAGGCAATCTTGACATGTCTTATGGTTGGTTGATTAGAGAAGCTAAATAAACGATTTGAATAGCAAACTTGCTCCATACTTAACAGGTAGAGTTGCCAAGGACCAAGGTAATGTTTGGGTAAAAGTGATTCTAGAACCTTGCATATGTAGCTGAATTTTATTTATTTATTTATTATTTTTATTTTGTTTTTCTTTTGGAGGAATACACAATGGGGGCAAGCCATCATCCATAACTCCTCAACCCAGTTGCAAGTGGGGTTCAAGCCCAAGTTTCCGCTACTATCAGCAGGAGACCTTACTAACCAGCTGGTTGGTACATTGCTTTTATCCATGCAATGTGATTTCTATTCATTGATCTCAAAAACCATTATGTTACATGAACAATATCTTCCATTGTCATGTTCATTTCAATCAACTCTGGGCGTAGGTCTAATCTCTTTAGGAATGCTCGGGTTCTGCCGACCTTTTCTGTTGCCCCTTTATCGGTTTTTTTAATGCTTAGGTACATGGAAGGCCGATTAACCGATCATCTTTCAATATTACACTTGTACATTAAGAATGCAATGTCCAATGCCATTATCTGTACCATTTAGTTTTCAAAAATGAATGTCTCATGCTTGGTTTGGTATGTATATGATTTTATTGCTCACAGGGTTTTTTTTCGCGTTCTATCACTCGTCCAAAATATCGATCATTGACATAAATTATTGAATTCACCGAAGTGTGTTGGGGATAGAAGTTGTCTTTTTTTCATAAATTTTTAGGTATTGGGTCCATTGCTTGTTTCAAGGGTGGTAATGTGAATTCTTTTCTAGCATTCCTTGAAGTAAAATGGGAATATGAGTTGCATTTGTTGTGGCAGATGATTAAAATATATGCAAAGTTATTTAGGCTGTGTTTGTTTGTGGTGCAAATGTCAAACCAGTGTAATATTACACTCCCTTCCGGTTTTATTGTTGTTTGGTTGGAGTTTATAACAAGAATAAAGATCGGTTAAACCCCTTTTTGAGAGCCTTTTTGAAGACGCCACTATTGTGTTAAGTGAAGGGTATTGACAATAAATCTTCCAATTAGAGAATTGTTTTTGGGGCCAAATTTTTAAATTTGATCTTGCTTAATTCTTATTAATTGGGCGTATATGAGCCAAAAGCCTAGCGTAGATGAGACTAAGTTGTGCTTTATCAGTAAATTTTTCATTTAAATGATGAAGTTTTCAAAATATCAATATGATATTGTTGATACATGGTAAATTATAGATTAGGGATGCAATCTAACCATGTTGAGCCTAACTTTGGCATGTCTTGGCTTGGCTTGACTAAAATACTACTAGGTTTGAGTATGACTCGAATTATATTTTTCAGCTTGAGCTTGGTTCAATTAAGTATTCAATGGGCTTGAGTTCAGCTTGAAATATATATATAGTATAATCTTATTGGTTGAGATTATAACTAATATAACTTACCCCAATGTTTGAACTCAAGTCGAGCCTAATTGAATTCAAGCTTGAACTATTTGATTAAGGCTTGATTCTATCGTAGCCTTACTGTAGATTCTCAATGGACCGAAGTATGGCTTTGATGCATCACTAGAAAATCTTGGAAATTTATTTATTTATTTTTATTGCACGCAGTATTGTATGTTCCAAATTGAATACTATAATACAAAAATAGAGAAAAGTAATTGATCATTAACACTTGTAAGGTGCCAACGGGCTTATTTGATAAAGTTTCTAGCTGGTTGTAAATTATCACAAATTAATAAATATTGTTATTAATTAATTCATCATGATATTCTATAGTATTTTGGGTAAATACTGTTATACTCATGTTAATTTACAACATTTTATACAAATTGAAAACCTTTTCACTAATTTCTATAAAATTGAGAATTATATTTAACAATTATCAAAATGTATAAAATGTTAATAATTGTTATTATTATAGTTAATAATAGAATGCAAGTGGGGGAATAAAATATTATAATGTTAGGAAATGAAATTATTAATTAATTTATATTGGAAAGTGAAAGAAAAATTAGTGTAATTTTGTTAGTAAACTACCTAATATAAATAAATATTTAATAACAATTTAAAATAATTTTCAATAAATCTCCATAATTACACAAATGTAATAAATTTTCCAAAAATTTTCATAAAACTATGTTTTTGTAAAATAACATTTTGGAATTTAAAAGCTATAATATTGTATTTTGGAAAAATTTTGAAAGTTTATTTAAAATTTATTAAATAATTATTGAAAAGTGTTGGAATATTTTGGAAATTTTAGGAAAATTTATTAAATTTGATAGATTTTGGAAAACTATTGAAAAATTGTGTAATTGTCGTTGTAAATTATTGAAAATTATTAAAGATAAATGAGTATGGGAAAGGGAAAATTGTAATTTGAATCAATAATTACACAAACTATTAAGATAAATTAGTAAGTAGACCATTAAAAAATAAATTAGTGTAATTCTGTAAGTAGACCATTAAAAATTAAACTATTTAATAACAATTTAAAAATAAATTTGAATAAATTTTCAAAATTGCACAAATGTAATAAGTTTTCAAAATTTTCATAAAATTACATTTTTGAAAATTAAAGACAATTTAGTGCACTTTTAGAAATTTACCATGTGGTTGATACTCAATATATCTTTTCGACCTTTTTTGTCATCAAATTGAATATTGGGTTGACGGGAGTGGATGCCTTGCCTTGAACCTGTCCAACACTAGGGATGGGGCATGGAAAATTCAAGGATTCCCCATCCTTGATAAAGAGTAGTTGCCTTGCCTTGAATTTGCACGACACTAAGAACGAGGTTTTGGAAATTCGATGATTTCCATCCCTAACGGGGAATGTATGCCTTGGATTGAATACACCTGATATTGGGGACGGGATGGGGATGGGTTCTTCACCCTGTTGCCACTCCTATATTATTGTAATTATTAGTGAAATTAATAAAAATGTTAGTTTTTGTAATTATTTTTACTTATTTAAAGTCAATCAAAATTTCATTTAAAAATAATGCAAATAATAATAGTTATTAAAATTACTACAAATTTTTAATAAGGTTAAATTTATTAAAAAAATATTTGTTCATATTAAATTAACAATAATTATTTTATAAATATCAATATTAAATGAAAATTACAATTATTAAAATTTTAAATATTAACAATAAATTTGTATATTTTTAGTTAATTAACAACATTTTTTTATTATGAATTTATGAATTAATTAATAGTAAATAAAATTATTCAAACTTTCAAATTTTCCCATGCATCACACAGCTCCCCCTGTTAGTAAAATATATGGGATTCACAATTGTTGAACCTCTCCCTGTAGACCCTATATATTTTAGCACCGGCATGGGGCATTACCATAGATATCACATTGTGCTAAATAGTTATCGCGTTTAGTTAATTGGAATTCACCATCAAGAAAAGATAGGGATGTCAATGGGTTATGGTTTTCAAAATGTCGTTGATATAGAACTGTTAACCCGTTCCACACAACCCTTTTTTTGGCCAAAATCGTTAACTTGGTTAGTGATCTGCTGACTCGGGTGATTGA